AGTGCCCCATGGTGTTATGAAGGTTGTTTTCTCCATGTCTTCTTTTGCCGTGAGAATCTGATTGTAGCCTGCGTATCCATCCATGAACGAGAGAAGTGCGTGATTTGCTGTGTTATCCACCAGAATATCGATGTATGGTAAAGGGAAGTCATCCTTTGGACTTGCCTTATTTAGATCTCGATAGTCGACACACATTCTTACCCTTCTATCTTTTTTCGGAACTGGGACGACGTTGGCGACCCATTCAGGGTATTTGGATACCTTGATGAAACCTGCAAGTTATTTGTTTTTGAACTTCTTCTTTTATTTTAAGAGCTACGTCGGGTTTCATTCGACGTAACTTTTGTTTTACAGGTTTCATTCCCGGAATTAGTGGTATATTGTGTTGAGATATTTCTCTATTAATGCCTGGCATATCTTCGTATGACCAAGAAAATACATCGATGAATTCTTTAAGCAAGTTAATTAAATTGGTTCTTTCCTGTTCATTAAGTGTTAGTTCGATTTTAACTTCTCTTTTATTGGTTGAATCATTTGAGATATCAACCGTCTTAGTTTCTTCAATTATTGGTGTTTTCGTTTCGAGTGTTTCCATTGCTTTAATAAGTTTTTTATCTTTTTCATTGTTAGTTAAGCAATGCTCGTCATCTTGAGTTAAAGAAGAACACAAGGAGTAAGGGGAAGAAGTCATATTATTATACTCTGAGATCATTACATCAAAGAGTGATATGTCCTTAGGGACTTGATCACTAACTATTCTAGGAGAAGAAATAGAAGGAGAAGATACTACAACTAAAGACCTAGATGACTCTATAGGGAGAGACTCTGACTCTGACTCAGACGACTCTTCGAATATCGGTCCTTGCCCTGTCGTGATGGAGATCTTCCTTCCACTTGGAGTAGTCACCTTGACGGTCTTGCGCCACCCTTGTAGTGATCCTTCCGCTGGAGTGATTAGCTTCGAGGGATCAAAGTTTTCACTTTGTAGGACTGTTTGAATGAGTGAGAAGTTATCCTCTTTGTATGTCGGCTCATCCTTTTCTCGCCCGAATAATAACCCCATGACATTAAAGTCAAAGCATGGGGGTGCTTTCTCCTTAGGGATAGGAGTTGGGATTTCATCTATGAAATAGAAATCTAAGAAAATTGCAAATCCCATTTGTGTAAATTTGCTAGGAAAGATTGGCATCCTATAGAGAAAAGGCTTAGAAAAGATTTCCCTTCCCAAAAAGAAATAAAATAAAATAAAATAAATAATACAGTCTTGTAGGAGATTAAGTTCGGTGTTCAATCATACAATCTCGAAGGATCACATAGAACAATACACATATTTCATGCTTTCATCAACAAACATCTAGTCAAACAACATGCTTGAACACTCAAAATAGGAAGTAGAGAGAATAAGTAGGAGAGAGAAACTCTAGAGAGAGAATGAAACCCACCATTTTCAACTTGTTTTTTGAGCTTTTTGGAAGCTGATTTCCATGGAAAAAAGGAGGAAAGGAAAGGGAAAGAAATCCTCGGGCTCAAAATCGAAAGGGAAGAAGAAAACCAAGCCAAGAACGAGGAACCTCGAAGAGCAAAAACAAAGTATGGCCATGGATGATGTCTCGGTTGAAAGCTGGCTGGACGGGGAGGCGATTGAGGAGATTCCGGTGAGAATGGTGACGGAGGAGGATAAGGCTCTACATAGTGAAGAGTTCAATCAATGGCTACAGGTAATTCGAACCCCTAGTCCTGTGCATTTCAATGGAACAGTAGATTCTGATGTTAGTACTGGGTCTATTAATCCGACTCCATTGTTGATGATTAACGAACCTGATAAGTTGGGAAATGATTTTTATTTTAATCTGGAGAAAAACTTTTTGAACCCCCAATTTCGAAACCCAGTTTTTGAAACCCCTGTTTCTGCCATTCCTAATGAATCGGGTGGTATTAGCTGGAGTAGCATGTTTAAGAATACGATTGATGAGGGTTTAAATCTTGCTGGCAGTGCTGGAGTTTATTGTACTTCATGCTGCAAAATGGGTAATACGGAAGAGGTGAAAATGAAGTTAACTAAGGAAGATGTACTACTTGAAATTGTGTTTTGGAAATCAGCAATTGTATGTTATGTTCTTTGTGGTAAACCTTCATTGTCTGTAATGAGTGGTTTTGTGCAAAGAATTTGGGGCAAATATGGAATAGATAGAATTTTTGCTATGAATAATGGAGTTTTTCTGGTTCGTTTTAAGACAGTGGAAGGAAGGGAAAAGGTGATGAACTCTACACCTATCTTGTTTGATGGTAGACCTGTAATGATGAAGAGGTGGGAGCCAGGCTTGGATTTGGGAAATAAGAAGGTGTTTGAAGTTCCCACTTGGGTTAGATTGCCAAGATTAAACTTAAAATTCTGGGGTCAGTCTTCTTAATGAAAATAGCTGGGCTAGTTAAGACTGATAGAGGCACAACTACCAAGGAAATGCTTGAATATGCTAGGATAATGGTCAAGGTGAAAATAAATGGTGAGCTACCAGATGAGATTGAGTTTCAGGATGAATGTGGTGTTGATGTTAAGCCGAAAGTGATATATGAAAGGATGCCTATTATTTGTGGTGTCTGTAGAGGTATGGGACATGGAGATAGTGACTGCCCTAATCACAGAGTTATGGTCCAGAAGCCACCAGCTAAGATTCAACAACAAAGGCAGCAGAAGAAACCTGTGGTAAGGAAGGTTTGGATGCCCAAATCTTAGCAAAATCAGCAGGCAGAACAACCTCAAGGCATCAGAGTGGATAAGAACAAGTTTGATGTTGATGTTGATCCAGATATTGTTTCTGGAATAGCTGATGGTGATAAATGTGTTATGGGATCAGTATGCATAATAACAAATGGGAGGGTACTGTTTGGTGACTGGGAGATAGGGGAGTGTTCATACACTCTCCATGGATAATTGGGGTTTTTGGAATGTCAGGGGCCTTAACAAACTAAATAAAGTGTGTGATGTTCTTTGGTTTATGAAAAACCAAGGAATTGGTTTGTTTGGGCTCCTGGAGACTAAAGTGAAGACTGGTAATTTTGGTAAGGTCTTCACTGGTTTTGGTGGCAAGTGGTCTATAACTGCAAACTACAGTAAGCATCCTGGAGGGAGAATTTGGATTGTTTGGTTACATGATATCTTTCAGGTAGAGATTGATAGAGTAGAAGCCCAGTTAATCCATGTGAAAGTTGTTCACAAGGCTTCTAAGTTTGTGTTCTGGTATACAGTTGTTTATAGGCTGAATACTGCAGATGAAAGGGAGGTGTTGTGGCATCAGATTGGGGAGATAAAAAAGGACATTCTTGGTCCATGGATCTTGGGGGGTGACTTCAATAATGTTCTGAATATTAAGGATAGAATTGGTTCCCCAGTTACCTTTGCTGAGATTGAAAAGTTCAGACAATGTGTTAGGCAAATGCTCTTATTGATTTTAAAGTTGGGGGTTTGTTCTATACTTGGAATAAAAAGCAGCAAGGGAGCGATAGAGTGTGCACAAAGATTGATAGGATCTTGGTTAATGAGTTGTGGACTGAAAACTGCAGGGAGTTTAGAGCTGATTTCTTGCCTGAGGGATTAATGGATCATTGCCCTTGTAGTATGAGACTGTTTGGGTGCAATGGAAATGTTAAGAAACCTTTCAGGTTTTTTAATACGTGGATTGATGCTCCAGGATACCAGGAAGTTGTTCAACAGGCTTGGAATAGTGATGTGAGAGGAACTGATATGTTTATTGTGGTGAAAAAGCTGAAAAAGGTGAAAGAAGCTCTCAAGGTGTTAAATCTGACTAATTTCTCCTCAGTGGAGAGTGCAGATGACAGTGCTAATGCTGATTTAGCAAGGGTGCAGTGTGAATTGAACAAGGATCCTCATAATTTGGAGTTGATCCAAATGGAAAGTGATGCAGGGAAAGGTTCTTAGCTGTTCATACTACAAAATTGAAGTTTTTGAAGTAGAAAGCCAAGTTACATTGAATGAAAGAAGGTGATGTTAACTCTTCTTACTTTCATGCTTGTATTAGGAAAAGAAGAATGCATAATAATATGTATATCATTCAGCTTGAGAATGGTGATATCATTCAGGACTCTGATAAAATTGCAGAAGCTTTTATTAGTTTCTATAAAGAGTTATTAGGCACTGGTGGGACCCCTTCTAGACAAGTCCATCAAGATATTATAAATGCTGGTCCTATTGTGAATGATGAGCAACATCTGAGTATTTGTAGAGTGTTTACTGAGGATGATGTGAGAAATGCTATTTGGAGTATTGAGGATGACAAGGCACCTGGTCCTGATGGTTTCTCCAACAAATTCTTCAAGAATGCTTGGGGAGTGGTGAAGAATGAGGTGTGTAAGGCATTTTTGGGATTCTTTGAGCATGGTCAGCTGCTGAAACAGGTGAATGCAACTACTTTGACTCTGGTACCTAAATTAGACAATGCTACTAAAGTTACTCAGTTTAGACCAATTGCATGCTGTAATGTGCTATACAAGATCATTTATAAGATGCTATGTGAAAGACTTAAAGAAGTGTTGCCTGGCTTGATTAGTGAGAATCAAAGTGCTTTTATTGCTGGAAGATCTATTCTGGACAACATTTTAGTGTGCCAGGATATGTTAAAAGAGTACAATAATAAGAGAAAGTCTCCTAGATGTACTATTAAGGTGGATTTGAGGAAAGCATATGATTCTGTGCACTGGTCCTTTATCCATGATATGTTGCAGGCTTTGAACTTCCCAAGTAAATTCATATCTTGGGTCATGGAGTGTGTTACTTCCCCTTCTTTCTCTATTATGATTAATGGTGGGCTGAATGGTTTTTTTAAGGGCAAGAAAGGAATCAGGCAAGGTGATCCTATGTCACCTTTGGTGTTTGTCATTGTGATGGAGTACCTTTCAAGACTGCTTAAAAAAGTGGGTGCTGATGATTCCACCAAAGATGAAAATCTGTAAGATTAAATCACCTATTTTTTGCTGATGATTTGATGTTATTCTCCTATGTTGATAAGAAGTCTGTCTCCCTTCTTATAAGGGCTTTGAAAGCTTTTAAGGGTTGTTCTGGATTACAGGCTAATGCTGATAAATCTGTTATCTACTTTGGGAGTGTGCAGTCTGAAATACAGCAGGAAATTGTGTCCGAGTCTGGTTTTGTTATAGGAGAAACTCCTTTCAAATATCTTGGCATCCCTCTGAATGCTAAATACTTGAGAGTCTCAGACTTTGATGTTATAGTTGATAAGATGCTGACTAGAATAACCTGTTGGTCTAGCAGAAACCTGTCTTATATTGCAAGAGTTGTGCTGGTGAACTCTGTACTGATTAGTTTGCACACTTATTCGGCTCAGTGTGTGTTGTTACCTAAGTCAGTCATCTTGAGGATTACTCAGTTGTGCAGAGCTTTTCTTTGGTGTGGAGATAATGTTTTGTCTAAGGCTCCCCCTATTGCTTGGGATTGGGTCTACAAGCTGAGGGTGTCTTAGGAATTAGAGATTGTGGGATGTGGAACAGGGCAGCTTTGGGGAAGTATGTGTGGAAAATAGCTAAGAAAGAGGATTCTCTTTGGGTGAAATGGGTTCATGTTGTGTACATTAAAGAACAAGACTGGTGGAATTATAGTCCTAAGAGATCTGCAGGATGGGCTTGGAGGAGATTATGTGCAGTCAAGGACCAGCTAAAAGAAGGTTTTGAGCAAAATAGCTAGATGAATGGCAACTATAGAATTTATGAGTGCTACAAGTGGCTGCAGGGAGCTGGAACAAAGGTGGATTGGTGTAAATGGGTTTGGAATAAGTTCAATATCCCCAAGCATTCATTCATCTTATGGCTTGCTATGCATGATAGACTCAGAACAAGAGAGAAGATCTGAAAATATGATGTCTGTGCTGAAGATAGTTGTTTGCTGTGTGGTGCTTGTATTGAGGACAGACAACATCTGTTCTTTAATTGTAAATACAGTCAAGAGAGTATGCTGAGAATTGCTCATTGGCTCCATATTCCAATTCAGAACTTCTGCATTGATGAGGTTTGGAGGAATTGGCTCAGAGCAGTGAAAGATAAGGTGCAGCAGAAGGTGGTCCTGGCAGTTCTGGCTTGTGTTGTTTATCATATCTAGTTTGCTAGGAACACTGCTTTCTGTGTAAGGGTATTGGTAGGGTGAGCATGGATAGAGTCAAACAGCTTATAAACAAGAAATGGAGCAGATTGCAGTGCAAGTGGAATCAGGAGTTATGTAGTCGCATCCCAAATTAGTTTCTGTTTTGTGTGTTGCTGTGTTGTTTCTTTTGTGGTTTTCTTTTTATTTGCTTCTGATCAGGTTTTGCTTTACTCTCTCTTAGTTGAACCCTTCCTAGAAGGTGGCAACTAAGGAGTTTAAGGCTTGGGGGGGGGGGGGGGGCTGGCCTTTGTGTTAGGCCTGTGTAGCTTTGGAGGTGCCTATTTTAGGCTTGTAAAATTTGTACATTTGTACAGTTTTTTTGTTAGAAATATACTTGCTTACTTATAAAAAAAAAAAAAGAACACTCAAAATAAAATTATGCACATAAGGAATAAATTAAATTCTAGCCTATATGCCCTTTCTTTTTCCTACCCAAGCTCACCAACATGTTAATAAAAGCTTTTAACATATAATACTTACCTCAATCCTTGCATCCTGCAATACATTAAAAAAATATATATATATATTTACCCTTAAAAAAAATTTGAATTTAATGAGAAGAGGGCCAAAATTTTGGCCCTATAGAAAATAAATTTCCGACACTAAAAAAAAATTCGAGTGTCCCATAAAAAAACATCGGACCAAAATAAAATAAATAAATAATAAAAAAAAAATTTCGGCCCCTTATTTTTTTATTTAAAATATATATATATATATACATATATATATATATACATATATATATATAAAATGAAATCGGAACAATTAACGTTACATAATTAAATTAACACTTGGCCAAGTTTAAATCACAGTAAGAAAAATGTTTTCGGGTTAGTGGTAATTTAAAATCTCAACCAAAGCTCCCAGATACCTTTTTGTAACACCCTAGAAATTCCTTTCCTTTAAATATCCACTCTACTCTTTAAAATATGATTTAGGAATATCCAAGACATTACCGCCACCGTGAAAACGACTAAGGCAATTATCAAAGATAAACAGATTGAAGACTCAAAATTAAAAACCGTTTAATCAAGTCAACTCAAAAGTCAACCAAACGAACGTAAAGTTTAAAACCAAACAAACAAAGTAAAATAAAATCAAGCTACAACTTAGAACCATTAAAGGCCCTTATTCAAAACCGTTCCAAAACCAAACCTTTGTGTTAGTCTACATAAAATATGTCATAAATAAATAAAGCATAAAACACATCGTAACCTAATGAAAGCTGGCAAGATTCACTCTTCTCTCATGCCCCATCATGATTATGCTTCAATACCTGAAAAGTTTATCTCTACTTGTTTCCACCACTCTCCATTAAAAATGGGTCATCATAGGGCCAAGGTAAAGACATGGCCAAACACACAAACACACACAATCAGCAAAGCTGAGTACATAAGCGTAACTTAAACACACTAACATGCTTTCACCTATCAACACACTTACCTCATTGCACCTGTTTACAAGCACACACATCAATCAACAAAACACAATGACTAGACACTAAATAATTCATTAAGCGTTGATTACGCATCGAACGAGTTTCCTACTATCCTCCCCCAAATAAATTGAGGTTAACTGACACGGGAGCTAACCGTGCCAGCGACAAAACCACTCAAAGGTGGCGGAATTCCTGCGCATAATAATAAATAAAAAGGAATATACAGCGTCCTGTACTCCATTAGAAGTTATGGTTAAATATAAAACCCCATAACTCCCCCCATTGTTCATACTCAAGGTATATACGTTCCAAGAGTTTTGTTGCCTAATCTCTTTCACTTTACGTTATTTACCTTTTATTGGACTTGGTGATGACTTTTAAAGCATCATAAAACAATCAACAATAATTATTCAATCAACCAAACATACCAAATTAATTCTTGAATAACTAGTGACCACATATTATTTAATGTTGAACCCTTTTTAATTCTACCTCAGTGTCAAAGACACCTTAAACGCATAATGCGCCAAAAATCCTATCCCTCGGTGTTAAAAACACCTTAAGTGCACAAAGGCACCATCATACAATTTATTCCTTGTGTACATAGACACTTATATAGCTCATTCCTCATGCTTAAAGCATCAATAAAAATTATTTGAACCATAATAAAATTCCTTTTCAATATTCCAAACATAATTAAACATGTAGTTTAATTAATCATGCCTTCTAACATGGCATAAATAAAAATGTGTTTCAAACACAACATGCCCAAAATATAATTTTCCAATCCATAACCATCACAAATAATTCATGCTTCACAATTCAATCACCAACACCATTAATTCACAATTCCATACATAAACCTTAGCATGATACTACTTGTAATTGGTTGAAATCAAGCCTAGCATGATTCTACATCATCAAAATATGCTAAGTACGCGTACGTACCTTGAGTACGATTTTAAAATTGCCACGACTAGTAGAAATTGCTTACTTCAAAGTCTCCTACACATTAAGTTCATAATAGAGTATTAATATCCACTCTAAACAAATTTCCAGCAATATATACTATTTTAAAACCCCTCATAATTTAATTAAAGTAAGCTAAAATTATATTTAAAACACCATAATTAAGTCCCAATTAATGTGTAATTAAAATTTCTTCAAGAAACATAATATTAAGTGTTCTACATAAAATTCCAGCACTTTATTATAATTAAAACTTGTTGTAATTAAGCTTTAAAACACTTAAAACAAAGGTCTACCCTATTATACATCATAATCATTCAATAAATCATGAATCAAGAACCTAGAGTTTCAAAAATTAGGGCTTTTTAATTAAAAACCAAATCTGAAAATTAATTACCATAATTACAATAACCAAACATCAAAATTAAATTTCCAAACTCATAATTTACAATTAGATTAAAGCCTAGATTGGATTTGGGTAATAAAGATTTGATTTTTAAAACCTTTTTTTTTCGAATTATGTGGCTGCCGACAGCAGGCTGGCGCCACTGCCGGCTGCTGCCAGCACCGATGGTCGCCGCTGCTGCCGGCTGGTGCTGGTGGTCGACGGCCCACCGGTGGTGGTGGTGCGCAACAAGAAGGGGAAGGGAAGGAGAGAGAAAGAAAAAGAAAGAAGAAAATAAAGAGAAAAGGGAGAGAAGTTTACCTTGGGTTTTCTCCACTCTGGGCAAAGTTGAATTGCCTCATAAGAGGGATATTTATACCCCTTCTCTATCACCCCTTTTACCCTAAACTTTCCTCCTTTAGTTTTTCCTAATCCCTTCCCTACTAAAACTTGTTAAAAATCATAACTTCTTAAAATAAAACCCCAACTTCTATTAAATAATTAATTAAACAAACTTTCCTTTAGTAAAATATTCCCAACTTACATGGGATAAATAATTAAAACATCATTATTAAAATGCTTAAATTATTTAAATACCCTTATAAAATACATATTTTAAATAAAATACGTATAAAAATACGGGGTATTATAGTCTACCCCCCTTAAAACAAGTTTCGTCTCGAAACTTGGGAAACGAAATTCAAAACTTTTCCTTTTTATGTATAGTATTGCTGTACTTTTTGTCATTATTTTACTCCTTTGTGTCTCTTTGAGAGCACTAATACTTATACTTAATAGAATTTTTGCAAAAAGCATCAAAAATATGTAAAATATAGGGAAAAAGCGCGAAATTCTAATCGCATTCTACCCCTCTTAAAGAAAACGAGTTACGCCCCCGTAACTCAACATACCTGAAACAGCTCCGGGTATTTCTTTTTCATTTCATTTTCTGCCTCCCAAGTGGCTTCCTCATATTCTTGGTTAGACCAAAGTACTTTCACAATGTTAACGTTCTTATTGCGTGGACTACGCACTTTACTGTCAAGAATCTTGACAGGTCTCTCTTCATAAGTTAAGCTTTGATCTAACTCAATGGTTTCGGGTTGTAGCACATGGGATTTATCAGGAATGTACCTTCGCAGTTGGGACACATGAAATACATCATGTACTTTACTAAGCTTCATATGTAAGGCTAACCTATAAACTACTTTGCCTATTCTTTGTAGTATTTCATATGGACCAATGTATTTTGGACTGAGCTTTCCTTTCTTTCCAAATCTCATCACTCCTTTCATTGGTGACACCTTCAACAACACTTTATCACCAATTTCGAACTCTTCTTCCCTTCGCTTCGAGTCTGCATAGCTCTTTTGGCGATCTTGAGCTGCTTGAATTTTAGCTTGAATTTCCCTTACTTGTTTAATTGTATCTTCAATCATTTGAGGCCCTAGGATCATAGTTTCACTAATGTCGTTCCAACAAATTAGACTACGACATTTCCTCCCATACAAAGCCTCAAATGGTGCCATTCCTATGCTTGCATGGTAACTATTATTGTAGGAAAATTCAATTAAATCCAAACTATCTTCCCAACCTCCTTGGAAGTCTATTACACAAGCTCTCAACATGTCCTCCAAGGTTTGAATGGTTCTCTCAGTTTTCCCATCTGTGGCAGGGTGAAATGCCGTACTCATCTTAAGTATTGTACCAAAATTTTCTTGTACACTTTTCCAGAATTTTGAGAGAAACCTGGAA